CATCATCACTCTATCTTGAGCCCTAGACCCAAACACCCCCGTGGTCATAAGCTTGACGTTGACTCTGCTTGGTCAACCCCCAACCCTCATTCTCTGTTCAATACTCCCAATATATCATAATGAAATGTCGCATAATGGGAGGATTTTATATTAGGGGGGTGGGGTGGTTGAATATTAGGGGGTTGGGGGTTTAATGTTAATTGGGGGAGGTGATATAGAACCCTACTTAACCCCTATAAATCCCTAAGCGCTATACAACTTATCACCCTAAACCCTAAACCCTAAACTCTAAACTATAAAGCGCCAAGCGCTAAAGCCTAAGGCCGCTCCTCCCAACTGTGGGATCTGTTGATTCTCAGGTTCGTGCACACCCCTCAAAGGGCATATGAGCTGTAGTCTAAACTCCTTAAAGGGGGGTTATGTAGGGTTTAGGGTTTAGGGTTTAGGGTTTAAGGGCATATGGGTAGTTCCCACGATTAGTGGTCACATTTTGTTACGTGGCACTTAGGACCCCTACTGAGTGTTCACCCTTCAGGTACCTATGATAGGAGTATCAGGTCTAAAGTCCAAGCTAAAGTCCCAAGGAGTTTGGTACCACGGAATATAATCTGTAACCAAAAGGGGCCCAGAATTTTGAGAACAGCCCGTATAGCACAAGAAGCAAATGCCTGGATTAAGATACTTAGGTTACTGAGGCGTCCATGTACCCATATGATGTCTACTCAGTTCCCAAACGTGCCCATACACGAGCCCTGGACCATTGGTTCCTGGTGCACAAGCCCTAGGCAACAAACCTTTAATCGTAAACCTGTGATGTGGATGAAAATGTAACAAGCATGACATACACGACTGAAAAGCGTGAACTCTTCCATATCTTACCCTAAGGGTCCAAGGACCCAAATAATAGCTCTTTAGGTCCCAAATGCCAACAACGTTATAGTATTTGGCCCCTGAAACCCAATTATTGGGGGTCCTTGAACCCTTAACCTTAGATTGCAGCCCTGAGAAGCTTGTGCTACGGAGCCCTTCAAGGTTTCCGGTTGAGGGCTTACAGTCAATTGTGCCTGGCGGGGCAGACGTATTCCTACGATCGTCGACAATCCCGGGGCACATGCTATAGCAAAATCAAAGCACTAGCTGGGGTAATGCAAGCATTAGGGCTTAGTATTCATTGCTTGCAATATATTTGGGATTTACAGTTTCCGAGGTTTTGGGACACTTACCCACTAGGATTTGCAATTCCGGCCTCGATTGAATATGCTTCGTGACCCGCCGGGGACCCCCCCTCCCCCTATCCTACGGTGAGGCTTGTTGTTTTTGGTTGGGGTTTCTGGGATTTCCCCCGTCCCCCCTGTGGTGTGGTTGGGGGTGTGGGTGTACGATGTGCTCTCGTGGCCTGTGGTCTGGGTCTTGTGGTTTCAATGAAGGTTTATAGAGGGCTTATAATGTTTGTAGAGGGCTTATAACCTATTACCCCACCCCCCCTGCGGTCCTGTGGCCCGTGGTTTGGGTCTTGCGGCTTACATTAGGAGGGTTTATCGATGGCAATTTAACCATTTATAGAGGGTTTCTAACGAGTTTCTAACAATTTCAAGGTTCACGGAGATTTATGGTTTTATAGAACTCTTATGTATATAAGATGCGGATCATGCCGATCTCTTTTGGAAATACAGAAAATATGAGGCTGCCTCAAAAGCGATGGTTTGCGCAGACCGCGATGAGGACCACCCCGATCTTTGTGAAGGTTGCTACTTTTGAGACGCGGCGCAAGCAGGAGGGGCTAAGAGTGACGACAGTTTCGGGGATGGCAGCTTTGAGGCAAAAAATGATGACAGTCATAAGGATGGCGACCCCGAAAGGTCATCCCTGTGACTGTTGACACTGTTGAAGCATTTGGGGGGGTTGACTGGGGGCATATGAGCTATAATCTAAACTCCTAGTATCCCCCCTTGTAAGCCCATATATAATCCCCTAAATAAACCCCTTTAAGGAGTTTAGACCCTAAACCCTAAACCCTATAATCTCCAAACCCTAAACCCTAAAGGCCCTAAATCCCCTACATAACCCCCTTTGAGGAGTTTAGACTATGGCTCATATGGACACCCCTGGCTAATAAAACCTTAGGAGCCTAGGAACACCCAAACCGCTGACCTCTAAAGCAGGCATTTGAGTTTAAGGTTTGGGGTTTAAGGATATGCTAAACCAAGGAATTTTCGACTGCTGAGACTTCCCTTTAGGGGTCCCTGTGCTCAATACTTCGTTTTCCCATTTTCCATGAATGATAGGATCTCGACATGGCTATCATTTTTGCCATTCTTTCATAACTACCCTGACTTGCAGCAACTTGTTTTACATGATTGCTTGAACGTGACTTTCTACCATGACTTATGCACCCAAGAGTCTGAGTAGCCCATACTCATACACAACCCTAAACCCTAAAACCTGAACCCTAAACCCTACGAGGAATCCTACCCCTAAGACTCCAAGTATCACACTATTGGGTGCTTGGGCCCTTTGGGCCAATCATGCCCCTAAACCCTATAAAGCCTATATAAACCCTGAATCCTGATCCCAAAGCTCTAAACCCCATATGCAGAACCCTGAACCCCATCAACCCAAATTCCTAGACCCCTAAACCTTAAAACCCTAACCCTCAAATCCAAAACCATATAACCCAAACCCTAAACCCTCATCCCTGGAAACCTCATCCCTAAACCCAAAACCTCAACACTTGGGCAGGTTGTCGTCGAGTCCTGGCGCACTGCAGCAAGGACAATCTCAGAGTCAGATCGCGCCTCGACGCAGGTTGGGCTATTTGGGGTTAGGGGTTTAGGATGTAGGGTTGCGGGGTTTAGGGGTTTAGGGTTTAGGGATTAGGGTTTAGGGATTACAGGTTTAGGGGTATAGAGGGTAAGGGTTGAGGGATTAGGGTTTAGGGTTTTGGGTTCAGGGGTTAATGGGAATTGCATAGGGCTCTTGTCTGAGGTTTTGGGCTGTGCGGAATTCCGTGTTTGCTTACGGCCCTTTACAATTCTACTTCAGATGAGCTATAGTCTAAACTTCTAGTATCCCCTCCTTAATAGCCCCTCTAATAGTCCCTTACATATATGTATATATATATACACATATATATGTATCCCCTTTTCACCCCCGTTTAAGGAATTTAGATTATAGCTCATATGCACTTTATGATCTTGGGCCTAGGGTATGGGGCTTGGGGTTTTGACCTAACCTAAACCGAAAGCAACACAAACCCTAAGGGTCCAAGGACCCAAATAATAGGGCTTTTGAACCCACATACTGTAATGTGAAGGGTATTTGGGACCTAAAGCACTATTATTTGGGTCCTGGGACCCTTAGGGCCAAAATCTGAGGAATGATGTGAGGATGTAGGTTCCTCAACCGCCCCAAAGGACCCTATGACTAAGTCTATCAAATCTGTTCCAACGAAAAATAAACGCCCCATACGCTTGAATCTGCACCACCCTAAACCCTAAACCCTAAACCCTAAACCCGAAAATGGCTCGAAGGCCAAGAGGAGGCGATGAGAAGCCACAAACGATTTTTGGCTAATTCATCCCCTGAAACCTCGGCTCCAAAAGGCCAAACCCTAAACCCTAAATGCTCAAACTGAATTCAGACACCAAACCTAGACCCTAAACCCTAAACCCCAAACCTTAAACCCTAAACCCTAAACCTAAACCTTAAACCCTAGACCCTGAACCCCAAACCTAAACCCTAAGCCATAAACCGAGGTTGACTACAGATCTGGATTTAGGGCTTACCTGGGCCCCGGTGTATCCTATTTTGTTTGAGGTGCCCTACGGAAAATGTGAAGCACATGTCGGACGCGTAGAGCATACAGAGTTCTGGTAAGCCTTAGGAAGCGAAAACAAAAGAGCTTGTGGCTTTTAAGGAGCTGAAATTAATTTGCTTTTAAGGAACTAAAGGAACTTAAATCAAATTGCTTTTAAGGAACTTAATTTAAGTTGCTTTTAAGGAACTTAAATTAAGTTGCAATAATATGGGTATATAGTAGATAAGAGGGTCTTCCTATGGTAGTGACTTACTTTCAGCATCTTAACAGCAACCAAGAAGATGGATTAGTAGCACCAGCTCAATCTTTCAAGGTGGCTGCAAGGCAGGTGTTTGCAGCCTTCTCGAGCACCCCAGGCGTAAACAGAAGTTTCTTAAACCCTAAACCCTAAACCCTGCGGCATAAAAGCCTGAATCTGCACCGGAACTTTCCCAAGAAACAATTTCAGCTGTTTGTGGGTGGTTTATGGTAAAACAAATTGCATATAATTTTCCGGACTCCCCTGAGAACCTCTGAACTACCCAAAGCAAGGAACCCGCCCGTGCAGAGCCACGCCCGCAACTTGAGCAACGGTAGACAAACCATCCAATCCCTGTAACCCCAAACCCTAAACCCCTACACCCTTCAGCCTAGACCCTGGAACCCATACACCCTTAAGCACAAACGCCATACACACTGAAGCCTTAACCCTGAACCCCATACACCTTCAAGCCTAAACCCTAAACCCCAAACACCCTTAAGCCTAAACACCCTTAGGTCTGAACACCCTTAAGCCTAAACCGTAAAAACCCATACAGCGGTTAAAGTTTAGGGGGTTAGGCTGAACCCTTCACGACTATGTAAGAGCACCATCGGTCCCAGGAGAGAGGCGCAGCCTAGTCTCTCCCAACCATGGCCCCTTTAAAGCGGGATAATAGGGCTATATAGGAGGTTTACTGTCGGGTTTAGGGTCTAGGGTTAGGGTATATAAGGGGATACAAAAAAGGATGTTAAGGGTTCAGGGTATATCTAGAGTAACCTATGTACCCATACAAGGGGGAACTTGTACCTGATGTTCTGGCATCCTTTCCTTTTTAAGGGTCCAGGCTACTCTAGGTAGGGTCTTTAAAGGGCCTTCTTGTCGAGTTTCATGTTTCCTTTTTGGGTACCATGCTCCTATAAGCAAAGGTTCGGCTCATTTTCATCAAGGCATTTGCTCTGTTCCCGCGCCGCCCCTGCCGCTTCCCAGCGCCAGCCTCGGTGGTAAGGGCTCGCGGATCAGGGGTTTTGGGTTTCAGGGCTTGTGTGGGGTGCAGGAGTTCAGAGTGTCCATGGTTTAGGAGCCTATAGTGATGACGTGTCCAAAGGGGTGTTTTGGAAGGGGTCATTTCGATATGAAGTGCTCTCCTTTGAAAGTTGGGCCCGCTACTACTTGATCCATCTTACACACGAAGCTTGTCAAGCTGCAACCCATGCGCATGGCTGAGAGCCAGCGCTTATCAGACTAGGCCTCTAGAACTCAGACACGAAAACGAGAAGAAAAACGCCTGTCAGGCCGCGTATGTTTTCCCGCGTTGTTGCGCCTGTTTGGCCTCTGTACCTCCCACCACCCAAGCATCTGGCACACACAGCTCGGAGAAAGGACTCCCAAGGCTCTGGACAGGTTCAGAGGTTTGGATTTCAGGAGGCTGGGGCCCCAGCATTGTCTAAGACGCGCAACCGGGGTCTAAGACACCGAAAGAAAGTCTTAGACACGCAGGCTGTATGCAGTTACAAGAAGGAAGCTTGTCTAAGACACCAGACGAATGTCTTAGACGCCGACTGCGAGTCTAAGACAAGCAGCATGGGTCTTAGACACCGGATCAACAATGGGAGCAGAGCTCGCGGTCTTTTGAGGGTGTGCCGCACGGCGATAAAGCTTGGCAACTACTGAGCTTCAGGTTGTTGAGTATTGGAATGACCCACAGGTTTAGCTAGGCAACACCTCAAACTTAAGAATTGAGATCTGAGGGCTCATGGTTAACCAGGGCAAGATGGCCAAATCCAAGTCCAAGCCCACGACAATTTAGATTCAAAACTTATCTGCTTGAGCCTGTTTGCAAAAGGTCCTCATGTAGGCAAGCACAAACCCCTTCTGCCGGCCGCCTGAATACCCCTTTTGGAAAAACCTCTTCAGTCTTCTCATGATATAGGAACAGTTTAGAGTTTAAGGGTGAGGCTTGGGGTTCAGAGGCCGAGGGTTTAGGCCTTGGGGACTGGGGACCCTGAACCCATGTACCCCTCACTCCTCTTATCTACGGTTTAGGGTTTAGGGGTTTAGGGGCTTAGGGTTCAGGGTTAAGAGGTTTAGATTTTAGACCCAAAACATGGCCTAGAAGTCATCGTCTGGGACTTCGGAGTGTACAACGAGACTGTCCACTAACTTGCCATGAAAGAACTGCATCACCTGCCCGATGCGAAATACCAGTCGCCTGTTCCACACTGAGCCCAATGACCTAGACCCCCCCAAGTACCCTCTATAGACCCTAGATGTTCCCAAATAGAAGCTACATAGACCCTAATTTAGGGTACTTGGGGGGCCTAGAATCCTACACCCTAAACTGGCGAGCGCGCAGCTAAACATTTACATGTGCGCTTGAAGCCCCGCACCAAGGGTGTGCTGGGAACACAGCTCCTTAAAAGAAGACCCCGTCCCTAGACCCCCCCCCAATACCCTAAATTAGGGTCTATGTAGCTTCTATTTGGGAACATCTACGGTCTATAGAGGGTACTTGGGGGGTCTAGGTCATTAAGGTCACTCATGATTTTATCCAAGGGCTCTGTGGGGCACACCCGGCCCTCCGGGCAGCCCGTCAGCAGCGAGATTCCTGGACCCTACTTGGAGGATCTTTTTATTTAGTAAGTCTATAGTCCATAATCCCCCTTAAGTAGATAGAATATGGCTTGGGGTATATTATAATAAGATCCCCATATACCCCATATTCTATCTACTTAAGGGGGACTATACCTACTATCCCTAATAACCCCCATTATAAGCCCCACCAAACCCAAGTTACTAAGTAGACTTACTAAGTCAAGGGATCATCCGAGTAGGGCAATTTCCGGCTCATTTTCTCTCTCACAGACCCTCCCAATATCCAGGGGCTGCCACAGAACCTGGACCCTAATAATACCAAGAATCCGACATCCCCTAGACTGCTCCCTGACTGGAGCAGAAGTAGCATCGTATTTCTGTTCTTCCGAAAACATATGCAAGCGCTGAAAACCCTGCGCCCGTCCAACCTCACAACCCAAAACTGGATTTCTGTTCAGGCACTTCACAAAGTTACCACAATGCGGATACATGGCAAGCAGGGGCTTTCCTTACTCTGGTATCCTAATGCAAATTTCTGAACAGCAAGCCCCTAAACCCTAAACTGTAAACCTAAGCCCCTCAACACCTCAACCCCTCAAACCCTAGACCCTACAAACCATAAACCCATAAACCCTAAACCCCATGGACCCAAAAACCAGAAAGAACATACTCCCCAGGCGCCGGACAGATCCGCGGAGGCCATGCTCGGGATGCGGTAGACTCGCATTACTTCCTCTGCTGTTTAAGGCTTATAGTCCCCCTTAAGTATAGATAGAATATGGCTTTGGGTATGTTATAATAGGATCCCCATATACGCCATATTCTATCTACTTAAGGGGGACTAAAGGGTTTAGTGTTTAGGAGGTTCATGGGACTCGGTAAGTACTTAGAAATGGGGTCTAACCCGGATATAATTGGCGAAGTCTACATAAGGCCAGTTGCGGACATCTCAAGTAGGGTTATATCGCAAATACATATGGCCTTAAACCCTTAAACCTAAGCCTAAGTAGGCTTGACCTTGGGTACTAGGCCTAAACAATAAGAGTCCACAAAGCGAAGAGCAGTAAGGGCTCTACATCTTCATAGAAATGCTTATCCTCCCACCGTTCCCAGGGGTGTTTAGGGTCTAGGGTAGTATTCAAGCTATAACCCACAATTTTATTGTTCGGGTTTGTTTGTTGGTTTAGGTTTAGGGTTCAGTAAGTACGAGAGGGAGCAGTAGCTGCGTTGTGATTTTGGTGCGTAAAGTCCGCAAAAGGAACCCCTAAGCATCTCAAATCAACCAATACTGCTACACTTGGCCAAGACCTGTACTACAACTGCAACTACACAGATCCTGCCTTTAACTGTTGGGCACCTGGACCCAAAACTCGATCTCTTTTATTCATGAATATATCTATATATATATATTCATGTATCCTTAGAAACTCTTTAAATCCTACTGCCCCAAATCCTAAGCCCTGAGCCCTATAAACCCCAAGCCTAGACCCGGAGACGTAAGTCTTAGGCTTTCAAATTGCTCTCCGGAATGGGGTTCTCCAACTGCTGGGGGGCTCTCCTGGCTATTTAGTTTTCTCGCCCAAAAGTTTACCCATGAATTATGACGGGTTACATACCTAGATCCTCCCTCTATCCTCTATATACCCTAAATATTTATTGTTAGGGACCATATACCCCTATTTAAGGGTACAAGGAGGGTCCTGGTATCCGAAAAAGAAAGTCAAAGTGTGGGGTAGGGACGCCATGGAAAAACCTGGGACGTAGAACCCGCAACATGTTACCCTACAGGATCATTGAATGATTTTTAGGAACCCTTTAGGGGAACGGTTTTCTAGATCTGCCCAGGTGTCTGGGTTTTGGGGCGGCCATTTTTGTAGTGCTAAGGGTCAGCAATCTTCGGTAGAGGCTTTTGGCACGGTGGGAAGCGCAAGCTGCTTGTACATTGCGACGTAAGTAAGGTTTGTCTGGTATTCTGGCTGTTGGGGGGCGCGATGCCAACCAGTCAGTGACTTACATGAAGGTGGGCTCAAGCCGAACACAGTGCTATGCTCAACATTGCTCTACCGAGAAGTGCCCCAACCAAACCTTTGCTATACCATCGTGGTACACATACATTGGGTCAAACCCAAAAAGGACTACTGTAGGTACAGTAGGACCCTATTGAGTCCGTACGAGCTATAGTCTAGACTTCGCCCTACCCCCAATTTTCGGAAAACGGCATGCACCTTAAAATCCCAAGCCCCGTAAAAACCTACAGCAGAAATATCTTCGAACCCTCACCCACCCTTTATATCTACGTATTGACAGCCTTACATAGACATAAGACAATGTGCTAAACCCTAAGCCCAAAATCGACAATCCCTAACCCATAAGCCGTAAGTTCATAAATCCTACACTCCTCAATCCTAGACCTTCAACGCCTCATCCCTAAACAAGGAATCCTTGAACCCTAAACCCTAAATCCCTAAACCCTATATCCTTGAACCCTAAATCCCAAAAG